CAGTTCACTCAGACTGGTAAATTATGATACTACAAGACTGTGGAAAGTTATACTGTTCAAATATATATGATACCAAGGTGATTCAAAGTAATGTTTAGGCTACACAAAGAGATACATTAAAAAACAATAAGTCAAAATGGAATTCTAAGACCAAAACAAAAACATGTCCCTCAATAGAAAATGAAGTCAGATATGACAGAGTATACTTGTAAACCCAGCACTGGGGAGGCTGAGGCAGGAGGACCACTGTGAGTTCAAAGCCAGCCGGGGCTACACAATGAATTCAAGGCTGGCCTGCACTACATAGTGAGACTCTGTCTCAAAAAATAAAATAAAATAAAATTTTAATAAATAAAATGGATACCATCTTATCATGCACTTAAATAAAATTTATGTTTTAAAAACTAAGGTTTAAAGGCAAACGCTACTGTTAATTTAAATATATGGTTTGATAAAGAATAAATATCTGCTAAGTGATAGGTAGAAGCAGAAAGTACCAGGAGGGAATTGGTAGCTCAGTACAGCAGCAAAGATGAGGCAGCCTAGAACACAGGAGGCCGGGAGTTTCATGCCAGCGTGGTCAAAAACAAACACGAATGTGTTTTAAGAAGAAAAGATGATTTTTTAAAAAGTTGCCCACCAAGACAAGCAAGTTCACTCGATGCTGTCTGGTCTTTGTGCTTTAAGGACTCAGACTCTTTGTCCTTGGCCTGCAACCTTAATGTGATAAAGGTGACTACAACCAAAATTCACCCAAGAATTTTGTATGCTTGTCTTTTAAAGATTCCAATATAAGTAGGATTTTTAGTATGGCGAGCTTTTTCTACCGCTTCTTATGATGGATTCAGTTTTTAATTTTGGGGGACAGATCAACAAGTAGTTATGTTCATACGAATTGAGAGTTCTGGCTAAAGAAATGTAACTTGATGTCCTCACGCTTCCTGGTGTTTCTGTCTGGGCTCCTCCTTCCCACTGAACGTGGCTGCACTTCTGTGACTTCCCAGGTCCATGGGACATTAGCAGTTCTGATAGCTAAGAGCTTGCATTTGGGGGCTTGCAGAGCTCCTCTTGGAAGCCAGCTACTGTGGTATTAAAAAAAACCCTGGCATTGATTCAGGAAGAGGAGGATTTGTGTTGGGAAAGCTCTGGCTCATGAGAAGCCACCTTGACCTTCTGGTCCCAGTAGAGCTTCCAGCTGATGGAAGCTGCATGAGTGAGCTCAGTGACACCCCGTGACGCAGTCTCATGAAAAATGATGGGAGGCAGTCTTTTACGCTACAAACAGTAACAAGACAGACTTTTAAAAAGGAATACAACTTGAATTCAGGGGAAGAGTAATCCTCATAAGCTCCTGACTTCAAAATATGTGTTCTAGTTCTGTTAGTTAAAATGTCCAAAGTACCAGTACCACCCACCACAAGCTTGGTGTGTGCCCCAGGCACCTGGTGTTTCGCGTCAGGTTGTACTATGTCTTCTTGGAGGGATGCGTGATTTTGTCAGAGCAGAGACAATCCAAGTAGGTTGGGGGTAACTAGTTAATGTCAGAAACAACTACTCTTTAAAAAATAAACAGGATTCTACCAAAAAGACACAGAAAGCAGCTCCCGGGGATTCTGACTGGTCAAGGTATGAATATTGGAATCTCCGAAAAAAATTACCATTAGGCAAAATAAATCATGTGGTTTAAAAAGCCACAAACAGGCCAGGTTGCTACTCTAACACCTCCCTTGCCTTTGGGGTTTGTTAGAACAAAGAACAAGGACAGAGCAGAGACACACGGAGGTGGACGGAACCCCCCTTTAATACCAATCTAGAGAAGCAGTGAAGAGGTTTTGTCGCCCTGGACTGCAATCTGTGCCCTTAACTCTATTTCTGCTCATTTGTACAATAAGGTGACCTGGAAAAAAGCACTTTATTCGTGAGATACAAAACTTCCCCCAAACTGACATTTTACAGTCTTGTATTTGCCGCTATGAATATTTAGTGACAAATTATAAAAGGCAAATTCTATACTTTTAGCAATAGTTAATATTTTTGAATACATAAATATGTTGTGACTTCAGAAATTATGCACTGTTTAAAAGCAGAAGGAATTCTCATTAAGTAATAAAGCAAATTTTACACTAAAAATACACGAAAGAGGGATGTTTTTTAAAAATTCAAAAGTAAGTGGCTTAAGGATATAGCTTAGCGGCACAAGCACCTGCCTGGCAAGCACAAGGTCCTAAGCCTGATTCCTGATACCAAAAATAAAATACAATAAAATAAAAAGTGATATAAAAATTCAAAAGTAATAGCTGGGTGTGATGGCACACACCTATAATCCCAGCACTCAGGATGCTGAGGCAGGAGGATCACTATGTTCAAGACTATCCTGGACTACATAGTGATTTCAAGGCCAGTGTAAACAACATACTGAGACTCTGTATTTAAAATTCTGAAAAATCAGATACAGGCAACTAAATGAATGCACAAAAATTAAGTATATAGTATATTTATTTGGCACCACCAGGATGTAAGTGTTGCCTTCTATATATCCAAGCCTCCTTCCTGTCAAGCTGAATTAGATTAAAATGGTACTGAGGATTTCAATAAATGTATTTATTTAATATGCCTGTGCTGCTTGAATAAGAAAATCTCAAAATTGTCCTGGTAGCCCAGAAAAATGTATTGAGATTTGCTTTTCATTAGAAAAACCAATGCACCTTATCTCTGGCATGAAAGAAAATTTTTTTATTTGCAGCTCTTGCCAACAGTAGTTTTAGCAATGTCCATATAAAATATATAACTGATTTAAATCAAATCAACTGAAATAAGCCCAGTTTTGTTTGGTATACTTATATAAGTAAAAAAAAAAAAAATAGGAGACAGTAAAAAAGCCAGATCTAGAGAAATAAGTAACCTTGCTCTTCATATTCCTTTATCTATTTCTATGAAAAATAAATAAATTACATTTTCAAGGTATCGTCTGTGTTTCATAACCTGAATATATTTATGTCTTTATATATTTGTGTACTCCATACAGAATCATTCCTCATTCTCAGGAGTGCCCTTTCATTTCCTAAAAGCTCTAAGAAAGTTTAGGGGGAAAGGTGCAAAGAAAATAGGCCACAGAACTGTGGAATCAGGTGGGAGACTGCTCTGTGTTAAGCATACAGGGACTGCGGTAAAGGTCCTAGCTAGGATTAATGTCACTTCAATGAAAGTCCTTCTGTATGCTACTGGAGACTTGCTGCCCTGCCACTCCCAAAATGCAATATACTGTTCTTAGTACTAACGATAGTCAAGTATGTCATTTTCGTTGTGTTTTCGGTTCTTTATGGGAAGGAAGAAACATTTTACAAAGACTTTGACTTAAAAACAGCTTAAAATAATAAAAACTGAATTTAAAGGTTAATTTTAGTTATCTGGATGCTTTATCCAGAATTTTTCCCACTGCTATTCATGATAATTTAAGGTTGGGGTGTGTTTTCATTTTTTTTTAAACTTTTTTTTTTTTTATCGGTACCGGGGACCGAACTCACGACCACCGGCTTGCAAGGCAGGTGCTTATGCTGCTGAGCTAAATCCCCAGCCCCTGTGTTTTCATTTTTTAAATTTAATGTTTTTTAAAAGCAAGGTCTCACTACCTCATTCAGGTTGGCCTTGAACTCATGGCAATCCTCCTGCCTCAGCCTCCCAAGTACTAGGATTACAGGCATGCACCACCATGCCTGGCTTTTAAATCTAATTTTTTTCCAGTATGCGGATTGAACCCAGGGCCTTGTACCTGTTAGGTAAGCTCTTTACCACTGAGTTACATCCCCAGAACCCTGCCCTTTTTTCTTTTGAAACAGTGCTTCTCCAGATTACCCAGATTGGCCTCGATTTTACAATCTTTTTGCCTCAGCCTTTTGACTACCTAGGCTTATAGGGTGAGACAACATTTTCAGCTCAACTAACAGCTTTTAACAATTCTGAAATATGCGTAATTACTACACTTTTTTCACACCTACTTGCTAAATTTTATGAATTGACTTCGTTAAAACAAACTCCAACAATATTAAATGTCACAGTGAATGAACTGCAGTTAGACCATAAATGCAAACGTCACAGCAGCACCAGATACCATACTTAGTCGTATCTCAAAACATCTACATGACACTGGCAATGTAATGTCTCAGCAATGCTGAATTTAACCTTCAGCTATTGAGGGGAACAAAAATAGTCCCTTGAGAATCATAAGAATTCTGCTTAACCTTGGCTTTGAGCTCCTTTCAGTCAAGTTGCTCTAAAAGACAGCATCCTTGGGTCAATGAGTGACCTGGCCAGCTGCCTATAGTGTGGGGGCACTTTCCAACTTTTATCACAGGGTCAAGGGTCAGACAGTAAATATTTTAAAGTTTGCAAATCTTACGTGTTAAACAACCACTTAACAGCTATATATATTACAGCAGCCAGGGCCAGTGCATAAAGGGATGGCCATAGCTCCTATAAATCTTTAAGAGCAGTGAAATCTGAACTTCATTCTCTTTACATATTATGAAGAGGACACTTCATATTTATGTTTTTTAAAATGTTGCTGGGTGTGATGATGCATGCCTGTAATCCCAGCACTCTAGGAAACTGAGGCAGGAAAACACCGAATTGGAGTCAGTCTAGCAACTTAATGATAGTGTGAGACTCTGTCTCAAAAACTAAAGGGCTAGGAGATGTGACTAAGTGTAAAGGCCCTGGGTTCAGTTTTCAGTAGGAAAAAAAAAGTCAAAATTGGTGTCAGTAGGCTAGCCATACAAAAACATACGAATCTGGCCCGCAGTCCGCGGCTCCTGTTTTGTTCTCTGGGTTGCGAATGCCAAGCAGGAGACAAGGGTGATGGAGGAAAAGTGTCCCCTCAGGGGCAGCGCAGATGGGTGACAGAGGGACACGCAGCACCCTGGAAAGGGGCAGGAGAACTGTGGGACCCCGAGCAGCACGGAACTCTAGGGCTGTGCCCTGGCTAGGGCGGGCCGGTCACTTACTCCGGGACGCCGGAAACGCCGGCAAGCAGGCAGGCCATAGCCACAGGGCGACCAGAAGAATTACAGACTTCATGGGCGTAGGCCGCAGCACTCCGCTATGCCTCTAGAACTTCATGGGGCCACCAGGCCGAGTACTTCAGGGTCGAAAGGGGAGGGTGTCAGCGGCGACCGTCTCACCTCAGGGCCTGGGGCGCCAGGCAACGGTGGACGCCTGCGGGTCACGAACAGGGTGGGGCAGGTGGGCGCGAGAGGCAGCGCATGCGCGCCCCCATTCCTACCCCACCCCCTCGCGCTGAATGCTAAATCTGATTGCCTCGACGGCGAGCTGATGCAGGCACCTGAGCTGGGCGGGTAGGCGGCTATGCGTGTCTCATCTGGGGACATAGACCTAGACAGAATGGAGGAAAGCTTGCGCTTCCTAAACCTGAAAGTAAGTTCAGGCTAGTTGCGCGGTTGGACAGATTTTGGAGGTGAAAGATGGGCGGTGACATTAAAGACACCTTAAAGGAACCTGAGTTGTTCTTTTATTTTTAGTTTTTAAGGAATGAAATCCCTTTCATTGACATTTTTTGAGAAATTAGGGTTGGAAGAGAGTGTACCTACAAAGGAATAACATGAAATTTTGGATGTTGACAGTGGTTAACTGTTAAATATTATAAAATTGTATACTAAAAATCTATTTTACTGTATGAACTTTTATTTTTATTTTTATTATTTTCGTGACAGGGTCTCCCTTTGTAGTTCAGGCTAGCCTTGAACTCATTGTGTAGTTCAGCCTGGCCTCGAACCCATGTCGATCCCCCTGCCTCAGCCTCCCCAGTGCTGGGATTGCAGGCATGTGCCACTATGCCCACCTTGTATGATTACTTTTTGAAATTCATATGTACTCATATCTCTGCCTCAGGAAGCAAAGGAGCTTGGGTTTTTGTCTGAAGCAGTAGGGAGATCCTGCAGGGTTTTAAATTGGGATAGATGCCTGGAGGTTTCCATTTCAAAGGTCACTCTCCCTGTGGCATCAAGAATGAATTGGAGGGAAGCAAAACCAGAGGACAGAGCAAGTTAGAATGTTGTAGTAATCTAGACATAGGTTTGATGGGGGCTTGGACTCAGGATGGCAGAGAACAGGGGATATTGGACAGATTGGGGAAACATTTAGAGCTAAAGTCAACAGGGTTAGGGGATTATTTGAAATGGTGAGTGAGGGAGGAGAAGATGATGCCCAGTTTCCTAGATCGGGCATCTGGATATGTGGTGGAACATTTTATCGAGATGGGGAACATTTATATAGGGATGGAATATGATGAGTTTCATATTCAAAACTGGTACAGTGAGGTGGGCTTGGGGCCTCCTCCCAGAGTGCCCTGTGGAGTGAGCAGATGGATATGGCACGTCATTATGTAGAAGTGGGGATAGCTGATATTGTATGAAGAGAGTGTTTAGCCCAGAAAGCCACCGGGCCTGGGATAGAGCTCTAGGATAGGCTAGAAAATAAGATGGACCTGTACCAGGGACCAAAAATGGGGAGAGGAAAAGATGGAGACCAGAAAAGCTTCATGGAAAAAGGAATCTCAGGTTGTCAGATGCTTCTTAGATGTAGATACAGCAACATGAGCCCTGACAGAAGCAGTTTCAATGGAATGGTTTGGGCAGAAGCCAAACCCCAGGGAGCTGAGGAATGAGTAAGAGGTGATAAAGTGGTGACAGGTAGCACAGTACAGGCAACTTTTTTGAGGCTAGCGCGTGAGTCTTCAGTGTGTTCCACCAATGCTTAATCCAAATATAGTGGCATGCTAGAATCCAACAGTTGCAACTATCTGGAAAGCAACTTGGACTATGTAACAAAATGTTAACATAAACCCTCTGGTATACATTACATCATATAAATTCATGGGAGTAAACTTTATGTTCAAAGATAACCATAATGTGTAATATAAAGACAAAGTACAAATTAAGAGAATGGTGCAGCTAGGGACTGAATGTTTGTGGCCCTCTCTCATTCACATGTTGAAATCCTAACCTCTCAACCTGGTGTGATGAGTATGAGATGGTGCTTTTGAGGGGTGATTAAGTCTTGGGGGCAGAACCCTCAAGAATGAAATTAGTCCCTTTGTAGCAGAGAGCTCCCTCATCTCGGCTCTGTGTGGGGACATATGCAGATGAAGTATAATAAAAATGGGCTCCCACTAGACACCGGATCTGTTTATCTGAAATCTGCACGCTTGTAGCTGGATCAGGTGGACTGCTTACGTCTGCCCAGCCAGAGACATCTGACATCAGGCAGGCCTGTATCTTAGCCCAGAAGGAAGCTGAGTGTGTGGCTATCCACTAGCAGGTAGAAGGCACTCAGTAAATCTTTAGCTGAGTGTAACTGACCTTAACTTTAGTCTTAAGAATACAAGAGATGATGGGACATCACTTTAGAGATCAGGACACAAAAGGGCTATGGCCCCCATCTTAAGCACACCCTGTCACTCGCTGATTCTCGGTGAGGGAAGTCAGCAGCCATGATATGAGCTGACCCCAGGAAGGACATCTCCAGCCAACAACCAATGTGCACCTGTGGCCTGATGCAATTGCATGAATGAACTTGGAGAGATACTGCCAGGCAAGCCTGGAGGTGACCCAGACCTAACTGACATCTGGACTGTAGCCTTCTGAGAAACTCAGAGCCAGGAGCACCTGGCTAAACCATGTCCAGAATCCTGACCCGCATAGCCTATAAGACAATAAAAGGTTGTCATTGGATGGAGAGGGAATAAAGCATTTGCCCAAGCAATCGCTGCAAACAAGGGCCGAGATTTATTTATCCAAAAGGATCACATCTGGAAAAGTGCCCGCAGCTGGCTGCACTGCTTGATTGAGTTTACAAACATCAGTTATCTTTATCAACCAACCAGACTGGAAGGTTAGCTGTATCTTCAAACCTCTGATCATAGCTAGTGTTTAGGAATTCATGTGACTTCTGTAGTGCTCCTTGGATTGAGTAGGGAGGAGCGTGGAATAACAGTGTGTGGGCATGGATTAGGTAAAAATTCCTTTAATCTTTTCCTTTTAATCTTTAAAATAATTAAAATTCCTTTTAATCTTTTCACCCCACTCTACCCAGTGACCTGCTGTGACATTCTGGATCTCTAGGAGTTAGTTGTCAATCATCCTGAGGATTGGGACTTTCCTTTTTAGGGCAGATTTATATATTCATCACCACTAGCCCATTTGCAGAAGATAACAACTTAAAAGTCATAATGCATACTTATGATGTTATTACTGAATTTTCCTTTGAGGATTTCTGGCTTTGCTATGAGGTTCTGGACTTGTTTTTTTTTTTTTTTGTTTGTTTGTTTTGTTTTTGTTTTTTCTGTGACCTTGTACTTGATAGATGCTTTGCCACTGAGCTATGTCCCAACCCCGAGATTCTGGATTTGTAAATATGCTTAGGTCTGGGAACTCGTTAAGGTGTTGCAAGTGAGAGTCAAGGAAAATGTCTGTTCTATTAGGCTTAGACTGGGGTTCTTTTTTGTTTGTTTGCTTGGTTGGTTGTAGAAATCCAGAAAGACCTTAGTTAGCAGCTTTCATCTTGTGAACTATCAATTGTGACACAGCCCAGGTATATTTTAACTGTGGAATTCTATTTACAGAGAATGAGTTTCAAGTCTAAGTATTCAATGAACATTGAAAAATAGTGTTGAGTGGAAAGAAAACCAAAGTGCAGAAAAACATATCTTTTCATTAGTGTAAAATCATAGTACTATTGTGCATTTACATGAATTCATCAGGAACCATTCTGGAAGGAAATACAGCAAGTTGATAACTTGCTATTGATAGCTTGTTTCTAGGAAGAGAAATGGAACTGGAGGAGAACAGTGGCTTTTGAGGGAAGAATCTTTCTTTTCAGTCTATTTTCTTACTCCTTAAATTTTTCCAAAAAAGGTTGTTTTATATATTGCTAATGTAATTCAAAACCAGCAACTTTTACAAAGCTTCCGTATGGTGGGAAGAGAAGAACAGTAGTAGAAATATGCATATCATTCCTCATGCTTTCCCTTACTGATTGCACTGGAATATTTAAGTGGCTAATTCACTACCCAAACACAGTGCGCAGCCTGTCTTTCCTAGTACAAATCTAAGACCCACATCTACTGTCATCCTCTCTCCTACTGAACTAGTGGGTTTGAGTTAGAGAGTGTCCTTATCCAGAGACAGGAAGAAGCCTGTTTGGGAAGTCCTGCCTTCAACATCACATGTCCCCACTGACCAGTCCTCATTCTGCTGGGACCAGTGCGCAGCGCAGCCCCTTGACAGCCTGGCTTACTTAACAATGCATTTTCACGTCTCAGAGCTCAGATGTCACTTCCTGACAAGCCCTTGGCCCAGAGCCTGCAAAAATTGTTGAATGAATGCTTGTGAAATGAATGTGCAAATGAAGAAAGTACCCATCTCGCCCAGTCCTTTCACTCACTCCACCTTTCTAGAAATCACCCTCTCTGCACCCGAGTTCTGTCTGCCTTGTCAGAGAAGGACTCAGCCACATGAGGGCGGCAGAGCCCAGCCAATGGCTGGCCAGTTTCGCTCTTCGGAACTGGTGTCTCCAGCTGCTAGCGCGGAAGCTGCGAATTGATTTTCCTTCACTGGAGCATGTTATGCGATTGTACCTTTGGCTTTGCTCTCATGCTTTGCATTCTAAATGCACCAAATAACAGGGAGTACTATGTAGAGTGATTTCATAATGATAGCTGTTCTCCAGGATTTCTTCAGCGGAGGCTGTGTAGAAGGAGGATGCACATCCAGTCTTCCCCTGACCATGAAAGCCAGTCCCTGTACAGCACCTTTGAGACTGTCCTGGATCTGCTCTAAGATGAGACCTGTGTGCACACAGAAGAGGAAGGCCGGCCTTGGGAGTTTCTAGTTTCATAAGATTCTGCCCTATCTTGGAGGCAAAAGTAAATGTTTAATTCACTGCACAGGACTCCAGATTTTTTTTTTTGTTTATTTTTTTTTTAATTTTATTTAAGGAGAAAAGAAAAAAAAAGCAGAGAAAGGGTACAAGTTATACAGATTTGCAGAAAAAAAATGAACAGTAGGAAATCACTAGTTAATGGATTACATATTGTCATCTTAGAAATAATTGTTCAAGTCACAAAATTAAAGCTTGTAAAGTGGACATTCCATCAATGATACTGCAAACAGTTCTGTTCAATGATCCAATAAAACTCTGTGATATCATATTCTATCTTATACACTTAAATATACATGCAGTTATATAGTTTAGAGCACTTTCTTTTCCTCTCTTTTGTACAATGACTATTACACATTTTGGGTTTCATTGCTCTCACGGTTCTTATTACTTTTTTGGAAGAGAGTAAAACCAAATGTGACATAACAGAACAGAATCGGTCAAGTCAAAAGGGTGGACATAATAGATAATATAAAAACATAATACAAGGTGATCAACAATGGTTACCATAATGCCTCCCGCTATCTCTAATAGAATTGCCTATACCATTAGTTATAAT